TTTGTCCTTCTGCTGCCCTGATGGAGACAGCAGGTAAATAACATCTCTATGAAAATTATAGATTCTTAATTTTATATATTCCATATTTTATTGTTACAGGCGGACGTTACAAGAGTTGGAAGAGGCGATGGTTCATATTGAACGATAATTGTTTATACTATTTCGAGTACACAACAGACAAGGAACCACGCGGTATCATTCCCCTAGAGAATATTCAAGTTCGAGAGATTCAAGATCGGCACAAACCGCACTGTTTCGAATTGTATGCTGCTGGTTCCGAGTTTATAAAAGCATGTAAGACCGATAGCGAAGGAAAAGTTGTCGAAGGTACGATTGCTTAAAATTTAATTTTATTTAATTAATTAATATATAAGAATTCAACGCATTATACTTATATATTAATCCAATATTTGTTTACAATTATTTATAATTAGGGAAACATACAGTGTACCGAATGTCTGCAGCTACTGATGAAGAAAAGGATGAATGGATCAAATGCGTGCGGTAAGTTGAAATGACAAATAAATTACAATTTTACATGCTTGTACTTTACTATTGCATTCTTTCACAGTAAAGTACAAAGTAAAATTGTGTAAAAATTATTCAAACATTATTATTCATTTCCAGACAAAGTATATCGCACAATCCTTTCTACGATATGCTGGCAGCACGAAAGAAGAAGGCACAAAAAACAAATGTACACTCAAAGAGTTAAACGCTGCCACGAGCCGAGTTTCGAGAAATTCGGCGGATGAGAAGACTGTTTATTCGCGAGCCATGTACGGTATCGTTGAATATAATCAAATTATTGATAACGAAAATTCATCGAGAAAGAAAATGCCAAAAGTGTTATGGATTATGTTAAACAGTAGTTATCAGGCAATGATGCCGTGATTATTAAATACTCTGTGTCTGTACATATAAAACGAATTCTAATGCCATATAGCATTATTGTGGCATCATAAATCGAATACGAAATATAGAATCGGCGCAGTGTAAAATGAATATTTAGACGAACATTATATTAATGACAGTATGATTACACGTCGTCACAACATGATGCCTGATTGACATCAGTGTAAGAAGAATCTTGCACTAGAGAGGCTTAGTTCTATTTCCATTAATTTAATAAATAAATTGCTCCTATATTCTTTCTGCAAAAAAGAATGATGCAGATATGATTTTGCATACATTAGAAATCGAAATTTTGACTGTAAATCGGATAAATGATAACTGTATTGTATTGACATCAAAGTAATAAGTGAGCAAGGAAATATCGGCTTGTTTCACTTTTCGTATTTTGCTAAAAAGAAGTCAATAATTTCCAAAATTGTCTTGATAAAAGCACTGAAAATAGACATTTTTAATATTCTTATAATGTCACATCTGGTAATATATTATATAATAACTGTGTAGGAAGCTATAGCGGAGAAAACGGAACATTCTTATTTTCCGGCAGCTTTGAGACATCATTGATGCTCTATGTTATTTCGGGAAGGTAATATTCAAGATATTTTGTATAAAATACAAGTACTATCCTGTTTTATCGTGCAAATGAAAGATAAAGGCATAAAGCCGAGGATAACTTTATGTGATAATTATTCGTATGTATTTATTTAAACAAATATGTACAAAATAAAACTAAATGATATGTTTTCTGAGCATGAGACAATATTATTTTGAATTAGTCATACTTGTACAATTTATAAACATATCTGTTTATTTCTATATATATATATAT